CTGCTGTGTATAACCAACAAACTTGGAAGTCACTTGTATACAAGCATATTTGAGATAAGGGAAGTTTCCTGTGTTGGTTGATGCTTTTTACAGTTACAGTGTTTGTTTCCGTTTGCTGATATCAAAGCCCGGGAGCTCACAGTTTAAATAACTCACAGATTAGACTGCAGCTCAGTGCCAGTCACAATCAGGGCTGTTGAGAGTAAAGAGATACTGATGTATTTTAAAATAAGGCCTTTGGAAAATCCAATAAGTGATGTGGTGACGGTATGGTGCCAAAGGTTGCTATGATACCATGTGTAACCAACAGCGTGAGTAAAGCAGTCTGGAGTTAATTAGAGAGGGTGACTCATGAGACAACACACAGGGCCACCGCAGACAGTTTTATGAAATCTACACAACAACAACATGTTTTACATCATCGCCGTGTAGACCACAGATGTCAGGAGTCAGGTGTCGTGTCAGCTCGGGCGTAAGCCTGAGATGTCATGATCTTCATTAAAGTGATCCGAGGCTGACCACACAGACAGGAAACAAAAAAAACAGCTACACAGAATGTGGAGCCACGTCTTTCTAAACCGCGATGAAAACAACTTGCAAAATCTGTGGTATTGGGAGTAGCCAGTGCGAGGAAAACACATGTTGCTTTCTAACATGTGGAGTCATGGCATTACTAAATAAAAAAATACTTTTCCAGAGGGAGGATGACAGATTTACACAATCCAACATAATAAAGTAAGGATAGGGTTTGGTCATTCCTCAGGGAGGGAACATGCCCAGATGATTGTGCTCCCTTATTTTTTATCCTGTTCATGATGTTCTTACTAAACTAACTAAAATGTGAAATATTAAATATCTGAAAACACAAGTTGCTGTGTGGGTCCTGCTCTTGGATCTGGTGATAAACAAATATAAACAAAGGATCACATTTAGTTAATCTGCAAGAAAAAATCTGACAAGAATCCAGGATTTCCTCCCAAGTGACGTCTTGTACATGCACTCCAGCATGTACGAGACGTCCTCATCCTGAGCAGTGTTGAGACTTTAGATCCAGGAAAACAGATTATAGAGTTGTCATTAGCCTGATTAAAGTACACATGGTTTACTGTGAGGTATCGAATAAGTTGCTCTCACCAAACTGTATATGAGTGGAGCTATTAAGAGAAAGGAAGGAAAGTTATGAATATTATGATTGTTCAGCTGTTTATTTGTTTATTTAGATCAGTAATGTTCACTAACATTTTCAAGCAATCAAAAGTGAAAAAATAACAATACTGCAAAGGAAGAACACATTGCACTTATAGAAATGTCTCATATGAAACAAGATTTGGTAATAAAATATATGAGAAGCTTGTACCAGAACTTTTTATATATTATAACATAATAAATATTAAACGTAGTAGTTATTAAGGAGTCTTGCGTTAAAGTGAGACTATTGAAGAAGAGATAAGATTTAAACCTTCTTACCAACGATTAGTCACCTCATTGCACTCAGGAGTTTGATTCAAAATAAATTAAATAAGTAAATAAATCTCTGACTTGTTAGCCTTAGTAGCTGCTCTTCAACTAAAGTTACATACATTGACATGTATTGCTCCTGCCACAGATAATGTTGATCCCTGGTTCTGTATTTAAATACAATTCAGTGACATTTACAGGTTTTGTCCAAAATGTGGAAAATGAAACGAAGTGCCTTAAGAAGGAGGTGTACATTTTAATAAGCAGCTCGCTGACACTGACTGGCTGCACAGACTCTGGCTCTAAAAGCATAACCGAGATATATTTTGGCTTTATTTGCGGACAATGGGAGGAATTATATAAATAAAGGTTAAAACAGTGGGAGGGGTTGAACAAAACAGGGACATTCTGTGAAAATATCTGTTTGCCTCTTGGTTGGCTGTGGCTCAAGGGGTAGAGCAGGTCATCCTCTAACTAGAAATTCAACAGTTGGACCCCAGTCTTTCATATGCCGAAGTGTCCCTGTGCAACATACTGAACCTGAAATTGCCCATGGAGGTTGCACCATCCTCAAAGGGAACGTGCTGCCCACAGATGCACAGTGTGAATGTGTGAATTGGAATAATACTCTAAAGTGCTTTGGGTCATCAAGACTGGAATAGCTCGATATAAATACAGACTGTTTACCATTTACTTCCCTAAACGGGGAACAGAAAATAGAAATCTTAAACAGGAACATTTTCCTGAGCTCTGCTGAACCAGAGAGCGAGATGCTGGCCTCTACATGTCCTGGTCTTAGAAGTTCACCACACCTAATCACCCTATATTACCTGTGGCCGTGCGACTGGGAGTTTATTCACTCGTGATCTCAGCATTTTACTTTTGTGGTGGGTTTGGGTGTCAGACTCACAGGTAAAACCCTGTTAAAAGAAATGTCCTCCTTCTTAAACCCTCTGTTATTTCCTTGTCTTAGAAGAAAGATTACAGAAAGGTTACAGTCCCTCAGAACAAAGCAGCATTCTGCTGCTGCCTTTGTTCTTTGCTTTCGCCCTCCATCACACCATCCTGTTCCCGTTCCTGTTCTGGTTTCTTTATTTGAACCCTAACTGTTCTGCCGTGCACGTCTACTCTGTGAGCAGAAGCATTATGAAGGTTTTAAGTTCACAGCGGAACTGTTTCTTGTTGAGATTTGTTGCTGTTGCTGTTGCTGCCAAATTCCTAGCCTGAATGCATCCTAGCCTGACTCTCTCCTGCAGAGACCCAAAGCCTGATAATTATTGCAGATAGAATAAAGTTTAAATAGTAATTAGTGTAACATTTCTACAGCCAGTCCTAGAAGGATCAGTACTGTATGTGACACAGCAGCCGATGCATCATTTGGGTCATGAGAGACATCGCTCCCTACCTTTGTGTCTGTGATCAGTTGCTGCTTAAGGTGATATTTTTTCACCACTTTTGTGTAGTCTTTCTCTTTGGAAACACACTCGTAGGTGCCATAGTTCTCTTCTGCCATGGCAGGGATGAGGTGCAGACAGTTAGACTGCATTTGCAGACACGGGCTGCTCTGGTCTCTGTGCTTCCAGGTGTAGACAGCGTGGTAAGAGTCTATGGGGCACGACAGGTAGAAGGGGACACCCAGGGGAACTGAATGAACTGCTCCCAAATTCTCTGGTGATGGTGAAACTATATCCCGTTTGGTCCGGCTGACTTTCCTCGGTTCTAAAAGAAGGAGGTCACCATTACCTCCTACAGATTCCGAGCACACAGATGTTTCCCCAGTCATGACATTCTGAATGCCTCCACTGTGAACAAAAACAAAACACATTGTACCTTGGTTGTTGCCTTAACGATCTGTTTTATACTGTAAAATGTTTGAGTCTCCCTCTCTGGCCTTATGTGTCTTGTTATGAACAGTAACTTACGGAACATTCGGGTTGCATCCCAACTGAGTCCAGGCACAGTACGGGTCCCGGGCCAAAACACATTCAGCACAGGAGTTGTTATACTGCTGACACCTCTGCAGGTCCATGATGGAGATTTTCTCGGCAAACCCCACGACTAACTTTTTCTGAGCAAAGAAAGACAAAGACATTGTTCTCCTTTAAGCCTGCATGAATAGCTTTTTTGTCCTATTGGGTTCGGTGCAATAGAGGTCAATTTATTTTATAATTTAGCAAAAAGTGGCTTTTTACATATCTAGCAGTTTTGGATCAACATTAGCATTCATTAAAAGTTGTGTCTTTGGTTGCTTCATGCAATGTAAATCGTTGCCACTTTGTCTCTGTTATTTGTTGCCAGACATGTAGCCTACAGACAATTTCTGCAGAAAGCAAATCAAAAAATAATAGGGATTGTTTTAAATTTCACTGAGAGCTTAAGCAAAGTGACAAAAACCCTACTGACAACATTGCATTGTGGGGTGAGGTGACCTTTTAAACGAGCGGTACCTTTTTGAAGTCAAGTTTCATTGATTGAACGGTTGAACTGTTGGAGAGTTGCGTTTCTGAGATGATGAAAGCTTCAGATCCAGCCTCAAGGATTTTATGCACCTTTCCGGAGTCTGTTTGAGCCAAACACGAACAGAAGTTTGATTTGTTGTTATTTTGGGAAGTTATATTATTAGCCCATTGTCTCTAGCAGCAGTTATAAACAATACTTGGCTGGGTCAATGTGGAGGAACAGTATTCAAAGCATTGAAGATTGTCTCTGTATAGAACAGCTTACCCGTGGCTAGAAGCAGGACGTTATACCTGTGCTGGTCCACGGCTTGGACTTGGTCCACTGCTATCTTGATGTAGCTGCTGCTGCTGATATAAAACGGAGCTGTGTATTGCACAGAGTGGACCCAGTCAGTCATCTCTGGGTATTCCTTCACCATATTGACTGTGGTCAGTGGCAGACTCCTACTGTTTTTTACACACTGAAAGATACATGGGCACAAAAGTTTTCCAGTTAAGAAATAGTCTGTACAGAGTAAGACATGGGAATATAAACCAGGAAGCTCAAGTCAGGCAGTTCAAATGTCTTCAGGTATACAAACGTGAAGGCAGTGGGTTTTTAAAACTAATTAGAGATAAATATTTACTTGAACTATAAATTGAGAAGGTGGACGTTTGTGGTTTTCTTTATCAAATGCATCAACAATTCTCCCTGCACAAGGATGTGTAATCATTGAGTCTGTTTTGTTTACTGCATGGAGACCAAATTCTGCAAATCTCTTCATATGGGCCCCTTAAGTTCCTTAGCAACAGGGCGGAACTCAAATAGACTTCATGTAAAAAACTTTTCCTAGATCAAGAGATGGAAACACTGAAGCACAATGGATGTGGAAATGAAATGTAGACACATTTACCACGTTTCCATCCATTTATGTAACACGACGGTTTTATTGTACAAACCCACTCAGAAACATAGACTGCCCACAACAAAGTCAAAACAAAAGAAGACATACTTTTTGACTGCATAGCAACATAAGAGCAAAACAAATTCTTACTGTTCCTGGTCTTGGTTTGGGAATGTTTTTTTTGTAGCCTTTGAAAGTTGAGTTTTCAAATATTTCTTCAATCATTCCGACAGAGTAGATGCAAACTGCTGTTGAGTTCCTGCAAGTTAAAAATACAAGTGAGGGTTACCATTATAAGCAGAATATTTCAAAAGTAATGATTTCACTTTACAAAACGTCATCCTCATCAATCTGACATCGTCTCCACCTCAAACATAAATGTCCTGCCAGTTTTCAGAGGCGTGATGAAGTGATATAAGGGCGGCTCCCTTGGCCTTGGAACAAATAACTGTTCAAGCTTTATTTCAGTGAAAACACTTCAGTAGATCTGATGTTTCTTTGTCCAGTTTGACCAGATAACCCCGACGATAACATCTGCTTGGGCTTGGAGACTATAAATTAAAAACAGAAAACCTGCCTTTATAGAAATTAAATACTAAATTGCAGTAGTGTCCCTGAAAGCAAACAATCAAGTACAGTAAGCACAATGATGAAAAAGTGTGCATCTCCTATTATGAGGTCAATAAACGGTACTGGAATGAAATAAACAGTAATTGTATGTGTGGGTCATTAACAGCCATATTAACATCTGACCTCAGGAGAACATCACTTTTTTTTCTCTTCTCATTAAATCAAATTGGTCATGTGAAAAAACCTACTGTTCTTGGCATTTGTTATTCCTAATAAAAATTATGCCCTATCACTATCACTTAACCTGCTCTGAAGAAAATGCTGAGCTTTCAGTTTGAAGTGAGAGCCCTGGTGTGTTGCCAGGGTTACTTAAGTTTCTGCTATAGTTGCTATAATAAAGGAAGGGAAAGTGTCGAACCAGCTGCTTGAGAAAAGCGCGTAGACTTTGGTGTTGCGCCAGTCCTCGGCGTGAATCACATAAATGTCAAGGAGACGGTTGAAATACAGGGATTCCTCTGGAAACCCACAGACGAGACGGGCCTTCAGGAAAGATGTCCACATGTTCTGGAAGAATCTTTTTGATCCGCCTTCATCCACCTGCACAAATAACACAGATGCATTACAGCAGGGAAGATGTCCTTTCGCTTCACTTGTAATCTAAAATATGTCAGATAAGGGTGAATTGATATGGTATAATCATGTGACTGCTCTAAGGCAAGTCTTGTTTTGCAGGTCATATTACAAGAGGAATCCTGATCCTTTGGTACAGACAGAGGGGGTGAGACCACCCTGTAACACACGGCTGTACTCCAACATCAATCCGGTTAAAAGCTTTATTTATGTGTACACTTGTCAAAGCCTGGCATTGTATCCACAACACCATACCCACAATATTTCCATTCCTGCAAGGTTCCTTTTTTTATCCGTGATGTCAGACCATGATATGAGCATATCAATAAAATGCAGTCTACTGATAACATGTACATAGCGGCTGACCTTAACCATTGTCCTTGCAATGATGAACAACAAACATTACTGGCTTGACAAATAGGAGCATTTCCATTGTCTGGCAAATTCAGAACGGGTTACTGTGTGAAACACAGCAGACCTGCTGAGTTTTTGTCTTATTGCCCTGCTAGTGCCCCCCAGAGGTTGTGCTCATCCTTCTCATCCAATCAAACCAAAGTGCTGTGAGCTACAGGTGTGCAGATTGATACCGAAGATTGATAATACCAATGCTAAGTCCTGTTCTATACCGACGATAGCACCAGTAGGATCAAATACAAAAGTGCAGCTAAATCATCTACATTGCCCCCTGGTGGTTGGCTCTCTTCCATCAGTTAATGGATGGAACACGGGAAGAACGAAAGAGTCAAAGCACAGATCGAATGTTGTATATTAAAGTGTTAGCTATTTGATGCTATAAAACAGCTGAGATAAAACAGCTGAGATGGTCTATGGTCAGTACTATAAAGACTCAGCTGTGGCACATTAAATTTACATTCTTACTTGATTGGTTGATTCTTGTCCTGATGTCAGATCAATGAGTGATGTGATCACAGTTTGACATTGAACATGAATACTGTATCTTCATTACTAACATTTTTCACATTTTAATAAGCGATCTCTTGGTATTGACTTTCCATGTTACTTGAATAAGACTTGGGGTGACTATTAGCTTGATTAGTGAAGCTGAACTAATGAGGATTTAAACAGCTTAGAAGACTAGCAGGATAAGAGCTTCACACCATCATCCAGCGTACCTTGCAAACTCTGGCCACCCTTGATATCCAGGGGTCAGCTTCTGGGCTATGGTCCGAGTTCTTTTCCCAGAAAAATATATAAATCTTCTCTTGGTCTGGGTCTTCAATTCGCTTCACCCAGGAGGCAGAGATGAATGTGGGCTCTGTGGATAGAGGAGGATATTTTTATCAAACATGCAATGTTGACAGTACCTTGCAAGGTCAGCACACCGTGACGCAAATGCTTAGACTGGTAAGATAAGACATTAATTACTCTGCTCTGAGCAGTAGACGTAACAGTATGGTCTATATAAGGGGTAAACAGTTTCAGGACAAACTGCCATGATTCACCTGAAATAATAGTAATCAGATGCATCACTCCAGGTAAAAATATATTATTATTGTATTTGATTTGTTGTCACACTGCAATACAAATGAACTTTAAGTAGAGTGATAATTCAACATCATAAGCTGACTTCACCCACCTGAGACCCAGTTTTCATACATCCAGACATTAGCTCTTCTGCCAGCTCTCCTTCTGAATTGCAATGAACTTCTGTCAGTATCCACAGCAGCTGCAGCATAAAGATCCCCCTCTAAAAATAGCAGAGACATCACGTGTAAATGAGCACAAATGAATATATTTATGTGACTGGCCACACATAATTTAATATTGTTACATAAGACTGCTACTGTGAGCCACATGAAGAGTCACATGCAATGCACAGTACGTACCAACTGTGAGAGACAGGGAGTTCTGTGTGTACACCAGCGGAGAGATGCCCGTCCCTTCATAACTCTCCACTACTTCGTGAGATTGATTGTTCACTGATGAAAACTATAGAACCACAGACAGTCAACAGGATATTTCGATGGTTAGTTCTGCACAACTGTGATGGAAAGAATGACCAAGCACCCAAAACCTGCTACCCAACGTCCTATAAATTATAAAAGACGTTTGTTGAATGAAAGTTTAATGAGCAATGCAGCCGCTTCAATGGGTCCATGCTTCAAAAGGTCCATGCTTCAAAAGGTCCCATGTTTTGCTCTTTTGTGGTGTTTTATTTTTATAAGTTGTGATACCCATGAAAAGATGTATCTGTGACTAACAATACTAAAACATGTTTATTAATGCTCAACGTTAGATACTGAAATAGATAGGGTCTTCTGTATGTACTCTGAGTTAATTTTGTCTGTATTTGTCAACCTTTTCTAAAAGGTTACCGATCCAGAGAAAGCAGATGAAACAGAGCAGTACCAGCAGAAATGTTTATATAGAGTCTATGGCCCATAGACCCATAGACTCTATATAAAGATGGAAAACATCCCTGCTCCCCTTATGTGAAGCCTAATGGCTCATTTGAAAGTTGTGTTAATTTCCTTTCACAAGATTTATGTAGCACTTAGTCCTACTTTAACATCAGAGATATGAAAATGTTACTGTTTACAACATGTCATAGACAGATATAACATTAAGTGTAATTCCAATGCAAACACTTACTAGTTTCCAACATTGTGGTTTAAATCCATTCGTTCCACAGACAAACGTGCTGTCCTGAAACTTCTCAATAACTGTAATGACATTTTCACAGGAGCCCTGTGACACAAAGGCTGTTATTGTCAAGTTGTAATACAGAACTGATTCTTTATTTCATTTAAAAATCCATAATTTGTTCTGATAACACAAATCATCACCCTCTAGTTACCAACCTCTTGGCACAGCCCTGATGTTTTCAGAGGGAATTTCTGCAGCAGGAAATGAATAAGAGGACAAATTAAGTTGTATTATCTTTGAATGAGACATCACAAATTAAAATGAACATTTTACACAGGCCATTTCCCTTCCTAGCCATCAAAGAATGTTGCACTCTGGCCAAAACAAATGATGATTGTATCAACTTTGAAATTATGAGGAACAAAAATTACATAAGGGAGAGAAAAGGGCTATTAATGTATTTTTAAAGATAAGCAGTCCTAACA